TAAAAGACCAAATAGGAACTGTCCAAACAGAATAGGGACGGGTGGCAAACCTGATCTAAGTAGAGCCTTGATGAAAACTTTGTGACACCTAACCAGTTGGCTATTGGACTAGGACTGTGTGGCATAAAAAGTCAAAAGTGTACAGTTTCTTAACTGGGCTATGCTTACATCGATGAAACTATCGAATTGAAAAGTATTGATTAAGTTTAGTGATGGGCCGATTCCGATTCTCGATTCCAAAATACTCTCGATTCCGCCGGAATCGAATCGAGCATTCGATTCGAATCTCCGTGGGTTTGGGATCGATTCCGTCTCTCTTCGATTCTTTGATAAAATTGGTTAAAATAAGCCATAAACGTCATATAAAGCAACAAATAAACAAAATAAATTCAGATTGCTAATGATTTGCTTGCAGCTCTGAGCAAACAACAAGTCCTGGTCGTATCGTCACTAACTCAGCGAGACTAGAGCGAGCGTATTGCAAAAATAATAGATGCGAACTCAATACAGATAGTAGCCTACAATGAGAAACAGTTAACAGATGGGAATTGGAGATTCGGGCAAACTGGACTGGAGCGAGTAAGCATTGCGTCACAGCTCACAAGACATACAAGGAAAGGGATGAGCATCGATTTAGATCAACCAGTGGTACCAAGGCAACTAACCACGAATACTAGAAAAGTAGAAAAATACCGGTATGGATCATAAACATAAACAAATGACATTTTTGGACCGAAAATACACATTATTTCACATTGCTTAAATTGAACTGCCAAAACATATGTTCAACGCTATTCGTAGAGGATTCGGGCCAACAACGTCATTTGTTTATGTTTATGATCCATACCGGTATTTTTCTAGTATTGGTGCTACTAACTGAATCATTGCATCGCTACATCGATGTTATCAGTAACCGATAACATCGTTGTGAAAACATCGATGTTTTTGGGACTAAGACATAGATTTTTTTCTTCAATTTTTCGTCTGGTCTCTGTACTCTCCAGTAACGGAAAGCATCGATATCTCAATTACACTTGGTCAAAAACATCGATGTGAAAAACAACGAAAATCTATAGAAAAACATCGGTGATGCGAAAACATCTACTATCGATGCTCATCCCTAAACAGAGCTGAGCTACCATTCATTACCAAAGTATAACAAAACACTTCGTATTCGGTCCCGAAGGCCGAAACGTCACTACTCAACGAGACTAGAGCGAGCGTCCTATAGCCTAAAAGCGACTTGGGCTTGGGCTTGGGAATATAATTTTGTACAGTGAATTGGAAGGTTTTAACTACCTATAAATGTTCAAGTGCACGAAATTGTAAATAAACTTGTTTAGTGTTGCAATCAACGGGTAAATCTTCGAACACTGGGTATTTTAATGGCCGATAGGCAGAGTAGTTTTGCAGGTTCCGTTATTGTCTGCCAACAGTGGCAACACTGATAAAGTGAAAAATGCTTAAATGCTCCAGTACGGACGGCATCAACAAATCGTATTGTTGTGAAATAGTAACTTTTCAATTTGTAAGATCAACTTTAACCCCAAAAGTAAAACGTATTGAGCTTGCCTTGTTTTTAGTTATCGTGATTGTTAGTTTGTATTATTGTTAGGTTTAACTTATTTGGACAACTAGGCCTACTCCTAGAAGTTTATATAAGGTTAGGTTAGTTTGTATATAAATTAAAAATCAAGAATTGGATAGGGGCTGATTTTTTATAATGATAATGAATGATTTTTTATAGTACATATAAAAGTTATTTTATAATATTCTATGGCTAGTATTTTACAATAACCTTGTAAATGTGTATTGAATGTGTGACATTCTAAATTCTACATATAGATAACATGCTTGGTAAGCTTGTACTGATTTCACAATTTTAAACACATTTATAAAACATAATTGAATTTGGAATCGGAATCGAGTCCGGAATCAAGATTCGAATCTTAAATTTAAGAATCGGAATCGGAATCGGAATCGAGAAATTTTGGAATCGGCCCATCACTAATTAAGTTAATCGATATTGTTTAACCCTCCGAGTGTTATGTGTCGTAAAAGCAACTCGTAACACATCCGCTGTAGTGTTATGTGTCGCTTTTGCGACTCACAAACACTGTTTACGGCGACGGCTCTGGGACTGACTGAATCGAATTGAACTGGATCGAGCTAGGTAGGCCTATCGTTTTTTTCAGCAGATTCAGAGCTTTCTCCTAATGTCTGTTTCTATTTGCTTTTCATTTTAGTTCCGAAAATATTATAGCAGACAGCTGACATGCGTATTTGTAAACAGCTTGGTTAACCTCGCACCGATTACTGATGTGTTTTATTACGTTTATCATTGTTTTAGTGTTAAAAATCAAAAGTAGTTGAATACTTATACTTGAATACTTGATTCCTTCATCTTTGACCAACAAAAGTTGGATAGACTGTGTCAAAAAAAAAGAGTAAACTTATAAAACACTATAAACATATATATATATACAATTTAATCTGAACTGACGGATGTGACTCGGATTTTTGGAAGGGCGAGTGGTTCGTCAATCAGTTCCTTAATCGAGTACAGGGGCCTACTGACTAGGCTCTGGCGAAGTGCAGACTTGAACTGTTTTGGTTCTAGGGTCCGGATGGTTGTCGGTAGCGTATTGAATAATTTTATCGCTAGAGATGGGTATGAATTAAGCGTGTGGCTAAGTCGACAACGGGGTGCATCCAGGTCATAAGCTCTGCGGGTCCCATAGTTGTGCTGCATGTTTCTGGTTGAGAAGTTGTTTATATTTTCTCTCAAAAGGACTAGGGTGTTTAACGTATATTGGCTGTAGACTGATAGAATGCCAAGTTCCTTGAAAAGAGGCCTACAGTGGTCGGTAGGGCCGGAGGATGTTATTAGCCTTAACGCCTTCTTCTGAAGCAACAGCACACTCTGGGTCGCGTGGGTATGGCCCCATACCACCAGTCCATAATTTATGTGGCTATGGAATAAAGCATGGTACATTATGACTAGGTAGGGACGTGTGATCTCATGCTTAAGTTTCCTAATCAGATATAATATTCTACTTAGCCTAACACATACTTTCTCCACATGGAGGTTCCAGTTGAGTTTGGAATCTATTAGTGATATACGTGGTGCGTTAAAAGAAGATTTGAGTGATTTTAAAGGGCTGGTTTATGATCCTGAAGAAGTAGGTAGGTAGTGAAATTGATGTAAATTATCAGCCAGATTCCTAGCTATGGTTAGGCTATGCATTCTTAGCTAAACCCTATGTACCGAAATCTGTTTTTTTACCCATAGGCCTAACTTATTTATTTGCAAATCTACTTCCTTACATTATTATATTTTTGGAATCCTCATAAAATTCTGAACAAAGTGGCTATTTTAACCCTCCAGCTGCTGATCGACTCGAGTGAGTCGATTGCCACGCCCCGGCCGGCTGCTAGTCGACTCAAGCGAGTCGATACGTAAGGTGTCGTTTAATCTACCTACTTCACTCCTTTCTAGTGTACAAGAAACTCAATTGAGTTTGGTATCTCCATAAACGTCAGATTTCAGGCTTTCTCCCGATACCTGTCTCTAATGATGCTTTAACCCAACTGGCTGCTTTATAAAACGACTTGCAAAATTGACATTGTCGCGCCTGCTGTCTGCAGTCTACAAACAATGCTAACAAGCGTAGTTACCGAGTCTGTTTGTTTATGTCATCCAAAGCGGTTTATAATGTAATTATTTAGTGTTTTTACGTAAATAATGGATAGTAGTGACATACGTATGTGTTTTAGTGAGGATCTTAGTGATCCTGACGAAGATTTGTTTGGTGTTGGTAATGAAAACGTATGCATCCTAGGCCTAGACCTATGCCTACTCTTGATCCTTGGGTGGGGGTTTCTGTATATAAATTATATATAATATTCTATTTTTTATATTATGTGCATAAAAGCATATATTATCTTGTTCCTTATTAAATTCACTACAAAATGGCTATTTTCAATTTTAGTTCAGAGCAAAATAATTTTATTTTTATGATGTGCAAAGTTACAAAATGAAAACAAATTTATATATTTTGTTTGTTTACATCCTTAAAAATATTTTTATAGAAACATAGCCTAACCATGCAATAATATTGTATGTTTTTGTAGAATTTTATAGGCCTACTAAACAAGAAAATATATACCGGTAATATGTTATGGTTTGTTTAATTTTTTAACTTTATTATTAATTTTTTTTATTGCCGCAAATTAAAATAAAAATGCTTAGCACCAAGGGCAAATATAACTAGCACTTGGAGGGTTAAAATATTTGTAGACCTATAAATTGTAACCATTTATTGAGCGCAAACACAAATTTTTGCCATTTAGGGCCTAACTTATTTTATAATTTTTGAGAAATGTTAACCCCACAAAAATTGTTGAACATTTTATTATGTTTTATATGTTACATTAAATCCCATAATTTTCCAAATAAAATGATATATAAAACAGTATATACGTCTACTTTATATTGTTCTTAAGTTTCTAAGATACATTTTAATCAAACTCTGCGATTGTGCAGTAAATGGACAAACATTAAGACCAAAACTAGAGACACTCGGAGGGTTAAATATATCTATTATAAAATTAAACTATCATAACCTAACCTAACCAACCAAACTTGCTGATGGTGAAAAAATCGCATGAAGGTCTACTAGGCATAATCGAATCGATAGTTTCAATCGATACAGTATTAGCATAGCCCAGTTAAAAAACTGTACCCGCATTAAAAATAAGTTAAGTCAACCCTTTACACGGTAGTAACTGACTTCTCTAATAGGCAGGATTAATAACTATTATGTAGGCCTAGGCCTACCTACAGGCCTAGCCAATGCTAGATCCTGGTACTGTAAAAAGGGCAAGTAGCCCAACTAATAAAAGTATACATTTTTTAAGATACATGTGCTCAGGCCATGAGGCAGATTACCAAGACATTAAAAGCCATAGTAACAGAGATGAGTTGAAATAAAACTTACCCAAAGGTAAACTAATAAGCTGCGTTGATATATAAAGCCAAATTACAATAGAACCACTTTTAATTACTGTACTAAAATCCAAGCAGTATAATACAACTTCAGGAAGTTATAGGTTAGAACTCGAAGAGGCCGGCGGCCGGCGGGGAGATTTGGTTTGGAGAACACGAGACCGAGACTCGAGAGTTCAAGACCAAGACCAGATCCAATCCACTCAGAATCCAATGACAGACAATGACGGCTCTATCGGTCATCGGTGTGTATGATGGTGGGGGGCTAAGGAAAGGAAGTGTTGGACCAAACCAATACCAAGAAATATATTAACTGACAGAGTATTTATACTAAATAATGTATGCAAACATGAATTAAATAAACAAGCTCAACACTATGGATTGTGGTTTTAACGAATTGTATATTGGTTAGAGATACTGTTTAGTCAATAAGAGATATTAATTAGTAATATATTTTAGCTATAAGAATTTCTACCAACAGATCAATATTTTGAGTTTTAATATTTTCGTAATGTAATCTAGTTTTATCTGAGTGAGGCAGATAGAGATAGACGGGTCGCTGTCAATGCGCCACCACGTCAAACCGCCACCTCGGTGTTTTGGTCAGAGGCGTCAACCCGCCACCACAAAAAAACCGAGGTGGTGGGTTGACGTGTACGTACAGGTCAACCCGCCACCTCGACAACAGGCCACCACGACAACCCACCACCACACAATTAATTTTCCTAGGTGGCGGGTTGTCGTACACACTCAAGTCAATGAGCCACCACGACAACATGCCACCACGACAACCCGCCAACACCAGTTTTTATCAGAGGTGGCGGGTTGTCGTGAAGCTCCATGTTTGATGTTGGCAACCCGCCACCTCGTACGTAGGCGACAACGTGCCACCCCGTCAACCCGCCACCACTCTTTTACGAGGTGGTGGGTTGACGTGTACGCTCAGTGTTCGGTGCCGTCAACGCGCCATCTCGCTCATAGGCGACAACGTGCCACCTCGACAACCCACCACCTCGCGGTTGGATTTATCAATAAATAAATCGGTTGGATTTATATTCTGTAGCATTAAATATATTGTACTTTGATTCAGTTAATTTAGAGAAAGTTAATGTACCTAACTCTTAAATAGCATTTCTGGACATTTTAGTTTATTTTCGGAAGAAAGATTGATAGGTAATACAATTATTAACATGGTGAAAACCCGACATTTGAAAGGGTCTCACGCCCTTAAGGGTAGGAACTTTTAAATTCTAAAACCTTAATGCAAAACTACGAATTGGTCCGAATCCTTTAACACCAACACCTTAAAAGTTGAAATTTGTCCACAAATAAGGGAGGAGTAGTGTTCACAAAACACAGTCCTCGCGTATTAATATGAGATGATAAAAACGTATACCAAAAACAAAAACAGAATAGTTATTAATTTTACTTAATTGCCAGTGAATAAACAATTTTTTTCATTAGGCGTATAAATATATATATATATATATAAGTTTTTATGCGCACCTACGTGCGCACGCAACATACGTGTGAAAAGCATGCATTTTATTTATCAATAGTCAAAGATTTTATACATTTAAACCGGCGATAGTCAGGGATAGTCTTAAGTCTTGTGTCATTTTATAATGGTGATTGCGAAAGCAAGACGCAAAGAAAATTGTATTCACTTGAATTCAAAAGTTAATTCGGGTGAAATTATCGGTATTCTGTGATTAGACCACGAATACTAGAAGAGACCCGGTATGGATTATAAACATAAACAAATGATGTTTTAAAAAAAATAGTACAACACCCCATTGCTGTAACAATTATGGTCCAAATGTTATTTCAGCTTTTGTGATTTTTAACTATATACTATCACCGCTTTCTCATGATATAGGATGTTAACAAGCTTATGGGAGAAAGTATGTTTCAGAATGCTGATACCGTTTATTTTTACATTTATTTTGTCATTTCTAATGTTTGATATTAAGTAATCGTCCGTGATATTAAATAAATTGAATCACGTATATTGACGCTTTCAATTGGCTGAAGGCCACTGGGTTGGAGCCCTGATGGAATTTCAAATGTGTTTTGTTTTATGGCAAATTTACATGTCACGACCTATCCAACGACACCTTAAACTTGATGATCGGATGTGTAGCAGTTTCAAAACAATAATCACAACATTTGTGTTGGCCAATTAAATATTTAAATAATGATGATGTTTATGTGTAAATGTATCCTCGACTAAACAATTTTCACAATGCGCAGTATATCGTATCTACATAGGTTAAAATAATATTACTGATTCATTTGAACCTTAATTATGCATCAAGCAGTTTCATTATACGATTAGATAAAAATTTGACTTAGGATTATAACCTGAAAAAAGTCAAAGCCAAAGTCCTTTATTTTTGTTAACCTGATTTTTGTAAAAAAAAAAATGTTTATTTCGCAAGATAATGACTTTTGGTACCATTTGCCTCCGTTTAATAACTGATCAACGCTGTTTATGGCGAAATAATATTACATTTGGATGTTAAAAATGTAACTGGCCTAACCGTTTATTTCAAGTTACGGCCTGATTCATACGTTGAAGTACAGTGCTACTTTACTAATATTACAAATGTTTGGGGTTCAATCACTCAATAACAATTCATTGGGCACATCGGGATTAGGCTGAAATTTGGCATGATGATAACACTTTCCTGATTAAAATATAGGCTTGTTATTACCTCAAAACTGTTTTCTTTCTTTTTACCTTTTTGAATATCTCTCGTATGTATTTAGAACAATAGCACAGTATGCCTCATTATTAAAAAATCAGGAACGAACCACGAATTATTACTGGGAAAGGTGAACGAAATGCATGTTGTAAAATGTAGACATGGACACCTGGGGCCCATTTCATAATAAACTACAAGTTACAAGTTTAATTTCTTTCTGTCCCTTCCATTATATACCATCGGCAACTGCACGCTTGCGCAAGCGTGCGCCACCATTTGCAGCCTTTCCCAAGCGTGCTTCCAATGTAAACGCAGCCTAAGATCGGATTCGGTGACCCTGGGTTGAATCACGGCCAACTCCAGCCCGCGGTCTTCGAAGTGGCAACACTGTCAGTAGTGCTGTTGATAAGACATTTTGGGACTAGAATCAGTACCAGACCAAAAATAAAGCTAATTTAATCTCATATTTTTTCCAAAAAAAACTTTTTCTTAGATAATTTTACAATTTTTTCATCTTGGGGAAACAGATTTTTGTTCCACAACCGTCAAATGATCTTAAAATCCCCTCTTCTCCTCGAGCATTACGTAGATAGGGACGGCCCCCTAAGAAGTATTAATTTGATGTGTACTTCTCTCTATAGTAAAATACTACTAATAAATTATTAATTCTATAGGTAGCATGTATTATACGATGTATTATTTGATTGGTTAAACCGTTTTATTTGATTATTTTTGGGGAATGTTTCTGAACTCGGATATGTTAGATAAAACTATAAAGTACCAGCTAACATGGTTTTACCGACGATTAAATACACTCCTAAGTAGAATCTATGAATTTAATGACATTTTTACCTTTTGTTAGGTAGTTATACCCATTTTCAAACCATCATTTATCCGAAACAACTACTGTACAAAAACAAAAATATGTGTAAAAAAATCTAAGTTGTCTTTGGTTATAAACAAATCAGTGCAATTTTAATTATTTAAAGACCTTGGCCTATTATTGTTCACGCTCATGGTAACACGGACATGTACTTTATGAAAATGCGTGATTGTTGAAAAGAATACTTTTAGAACTTTTTTCGTGCTCATATGTGGAGTCGTGCTTCAACCTGAGTCAAAGTCGTCAGAATTACTGAAACATAGATCACACTGAATATGCTGATCATTTCCCGAGATAGGCTAAAATAGTCGTAACAAAGGGTGGAATACTGTTCAACTCAGATGAAATCGGAAGATCACGGGAAACAGTAAACGACAAAGTGCGCCGATTATATGAACTAAAACGAACTTTCTTAAGGTACGAGCTGTTGAAAAGAGCTGGATATTTGTTTCTAGGCCTGCACAGATGTGAGTAGGGATGTTGTAAGTTACGCTAAGGACGCTAGCGGCGATGTTAAATGCGTTTAATTAAAAACAAAACACAACTCCTATAAATCGTTTAAATTGGGTGTAAAACCCTCTGAAATTACACTAACTTTGAATGATACTTTCTGGCCAGTCGGAACATTGGTTAGGGAATTTTTGGAAGCCCAAAAATAGAATGAAAAATTTAATGAATTCGTTTTCTAATCGAAAAATAGTTCTGTTCATATAATAAAATTATAAATGCCTCAAACTCAATTATATAATCTGTTAATTATAAAATTAAACTTTCACAACCTAAACAAACTTGCAGACAATGAACAAATCGAATCAAAAAGTAAGTAACTCCGTTGGGTTTCAAACCGACTACCTCCAGTTCCAGATCCAGCTCATCTGCCCGGTGCGCTATCCACGGGTCTGACTGAAGGGAGGTACAAATGAGGCAAATTTAGTTCAAATTTCCTCCGTGAACAGCGCTGTATTAGAGAGCACAGCAGGCCATGACGTCATCGTTGATTCGGTCGAGCACTCGAGTCGTCAGTCGCCAACTATCGATATAATCGATAGATCCTACTACAATCGATATTTGCCCATCGCAGTCGTACGTTTACGTCATCATCGTAATCGGACTGGTTGGTTTGTGGTTATGTTACGACAGACACTTGAAAAAAATTGACAGATATGGAATATACCGCGAAATCCCTCACTATGGGAACATACTCATACTGTATTAACATAAATAAAAATTAATCAGTTTGTTTGAGTGTTCTTTATCCAAGGTATTAACTTATACCATGCTTATACTCTATTTACAAAAACATTGCCAAACTTAGACTCAGGGGCTTCCATGAAATAAGATCTATCATTTATCAATTATGTTAAATATACCGGTTGAAATAGAAATCTTTAGCTTGAAATGATTGGTTAACTTGGCAAAAAATGGTTTATTTAGGTCCCTTTTTCGTTTAGCTTTTAAAGACTGGTTCAAAGGCATTCATTTTCATTACGGTTCCAAAGCCAATTTATATTAACTTAGGCCAGTTTCCAGTTTCTGTCTTGGAAATGATTTTTAAGAATGCCAT